TCCCACTAGTAGTTTACATGTGCAGATATTTAACACACAAAATCGCACCACTTTTCTTTTACGTGTCAAAATCTACTTCAAACTATTATTTATAGAATAAAACAAGACCAGTAAGCCCCCAGTCAAGTTCACGCCAAAACTTCTACTTACCCTCCAGCCCTCCATCCATACTCATTGATGAGAGATTAAAAAATAGAAAGAAAAGTAAAACTGCCAAGCCAAGTGTCAATGCCAAAGTCGTGATTTTGCTTTGTTTGTGATCATTTTTGTTAGCACTGAGAATTCAAACTAAAAATTTAACGATTCAACAGTAGTAATATAGACAGAAGTTATAAACGGCAGCATTTACTTTAATAATAGTTCAATATGTCATCTTACAAAGTAAGTGTAATTTAAATAAAATAGCAGCAAATGAAAAAAAATTTGTGTTTTCAATTTAAAAATCATTCTAATGTTCTATTTATATTTCAGCCTATTGACTCTAAAAGGGAAGAGTTTAGGAGGTATTTAGAAAGGGCAGGTGTAATGGATGCTTTGACAAAAGTTTTAGTTAGCCTTTATGAGGAGCCAGATAAACCAGAGGATGCGTTAGAATATGTTCGTAAACATCTAGGAACTGATGGAGGAGAAGATGAACTTGAAGCTGCTAGAGCGCGCATTGCAGAATTGGAGGCTGAAAATGCCCTACTCAAAGGAGAAGCAGCTCCAACAGATGGATAATATACTGCAATTACCATACTCTGCAACAATGTACAAATGATCTCGAGCACACGCAATGATCTCAGAAATATTATTGTTGAATCTATATAAATATAACTTAGGTGTTATTACTTTCAGATTATTTTGTTATTAATTAATTAAACTTAAGTTTTGAGTGGAGAGAGCACAATAAATTTTTGTTCCATTCATTGCAGTTTTACTGTAATTCAACTTAATGTTGTTTTCATAGATTTGACTAGAATATCAGGTCTCAAGGACTCCTAGGACTCATGTTTAAGTACTCAGAGACTTGTTTTGGAGCAGTGTGGAATGTCTATAATCTGTAAAGAACTTCTGCAACAGTAGAATCTGCAGTGACTTGAAACAATCTCAGTCTAAAACTGATTATATATGTTAATTTTAAATCTACTAGGTTGATCAACTAGTTTTTGGAATTGCAATGAAACTAGGATAAGAATAAGTAAATTGTATTTAGTTTTCAATGTAATAGCCTTTTAAATCAATACCTCTTAAATAGCGTTTTACAAGTTTGTGAATTCCCTTGGCAAAAAAGGCCCTATCCTGGTATTCGAAAAAGGCCTATACAGTACATATTACCATAGAGTTGCTGTTGAGCTTTATTCAACACGAGTGCTTTTTCAGGTGAGTAAAAAGGTGAAAATCACTCGGAGCTTGGTCCAAAGAATATGCTATTGCTGTATCAACTGAAACCTAGTATTTCAGATGGCAGTGCCTGCAACATCAGATCGATGTAAAAGTAATGCACTAAAAAGACTAAAACAAGATTGAGAATAGAAAACAAAATAAACTATAAACAAAGTAAACTACTTTGGTTAAACAGACTACTATGAGCTGAAGCCTAAGTTAAATACCCACGTTTTTTTTAAAATTATTTATTTTATTTGAGACTCGATAGGTTTGGTTAATTTTTTTAAGTATTATTATTTCGCGCCAAAATTCCGCCATTTTGTTTTCTTTCAAACAACTATCTAAGGTCACTGCTGGTTTATAAGACGAATATAACGCTGTCGAAATCCATCCAGCTGTTTGGATGATACCAGGAAATAATACAAACAAACATAACCCTTCCATTTCTTTGTCTTTTATTCTTTATTTCTTTGCGTTTTGATTAATGATGCGTAATAATCTCTGGTTATTTTCTCTCCTTTACTTAAATATAAATAGTCGATCATTATTATACCATCCGCATCCTAGAAGACAAGAAGCCATTATACTTAGGCGTCGCCCACATCCCAGCTTTAAGGTGCCGCCACGCGAGGACAAATCTGCTCAGGTTTGCACCTATGCCACGGGCTTTAAAGTTATTGAATATTGTTTCCGAAGAAACGGACATTTTTCACTGCAGCCTAGCAAAGTTCACAGAAGCGGCGCACAGGGTCTGTGAGATTTTTTTCATAATTTTTTTTTCTATTTATATTTTTTTCTTAATTATAATAGTATTAAGCATATATTTTATGTCAGTAGTTATATTTATCACTTATTATTTGGTTTTTGTACAGCATCGTCTTAGTTTTGTACTGTTATGATGCTGTTACTGTTTTAGTTATAAATAAATAAATTTTTCCAGCGGACGCAGACACCTTTAGTCTCTTGGTTGGCGGGGAAGCGAAGACTGTCTTTTCCACACCTTGCTTTGGTTTTTCGACTCGAGGTCAAAACGGTGTACCCACATTTCATCTACAGTTACGAAATGAGCGCAGAAATAATCTAAATCTTCTTCAATTATTGCTAAATTTAGCTTTGAAATGTCAACTTGTTTTCAATTTTCAATTAACATTCGAGGAATAGCAGCCTGCGGCCACCTTTTTTGAATTTTCAAGTATGAGTTAAAATAAACTGAATTGTCCCAAACGAAAGCTTTAGAAACTGAGCTAAATAAGAGATGGTCACACGTCGATCTACCTTAACAATTTCTTCGAGTTTTTTAACGTATTCTTGCGTAGCGGCTACCGGCCGATGTTCGCCGCCCGGAACGAGTGTCGTCTTTGTTAGCGGTTCTGCCGTGTTTAATTCAGCGTACCATCATGCCACTGTAGAATAAGACGGAGCATAGTCTGCCAAAGTAGACTGTAGTTCTTCAAAAACACTGTTTGTAGAAAAAAAAATTAGGGAGAAATATTTAATAACCGCACGAAGTTAGAGTTTCCATTTTGTATACGAATCAGATTCTTGTAAATGTTTACTTTAATGTTAAGAATTTTACACTGTTCTGATACCTGCTTAAAGAATGGTGTGAGAGTATAAATAAATTTGAAAGCATAAGCTCATTAAAGTTAAAAAGTTATTACAGCTTATAATATACGTCACACTGCTGGGGCACAGGCCTCCTCTCATTTCTGAGAGGGTTTTAGGGCAAGGAAGTGTCACTGCGTGATGGCGAACTTCGCGTCTTCGAAATATTTTTTTTCTTATTTCTCAGACATGCAGGTGTCCTCAGTGAGGACACCTGCAGGAAAACATCGTGAGGACTCCTCACGATGTTTTCCTTCACCGCCGAGCACGTGGTAAATCACTTAAAAGCACTTAAAATTGCAATTAACAATTTCATTGGTGCTGGCGGGGTCGAACCCGGCTTGCTCGCGTACTGTTAAATTAACAGCAAGCGCTAACCATATGAGCTACCACGGCTCTCAAGCCTACGCTATAATGATTGTCATTGCTCTTTTGTTTACTATTATGTTTTTTTTCTTTCTATTTTCTTTTATTTCTCTCATATTATACATATTTTTTTTTAATTTAACAACTACATAATACTATTAGAAACACTTTTTACAATTTATTCGTGGCTAAAACTAGGCAAGACCAGTTGCTTTTAGGTAAAAATATGTTTAGTATAGTCCATAAAATTTAAAATAACTAACTTCAACTTTGCCATATTTTACCTATTTCATCAGAATAGAATTTGTTTTATACTTTTTGTTAAAATATGCATTTTTCTGAAGTTTGAAATAAAAATACTTTGTACAATATTTGCCATGTTCTCTCATAATAATATTCTGTTTCCTTTAATACAATTTTTTTATTTATGTACTTTATTTGCATTATTTCTTATTGTATTGATTGGGACGAATTTAATGCAAAATTGAATTTGCATGCCTAAATCTGGGAATGTTATGTACACACTTGTAGGTATCTAATTGATATGCATATAAGAGTAAGTTCCCATTAACCCTATTAGTAGTACCCGCACTTTGGCTTTTATCATATTTCATATTGTTTTATTCATATTTTGGCATGTTCATATTTACATTGGCTGCTAGGCGTTTGTACGTGTTAGCAGTGGTAAAAATGAATGATGAATTTTTAACGGCAAATCCAATTCAAACTGGTAACTTACCTGACACTGCACAAACAAAGAAAAGTGCTCTTTTCATTTTTTCACTTTCGGTTTCGAAATAAGCTCTAATATGAACCTATAGTTGCTCACTGCTCATCGAAGGTCCCTTTTTTCGTGCAATATAGCTTACATATACCGCCCTCACGCCTCACGGAAGCAAAGACGGGTTATTTTCGCCATGACGAGTTACAGGAACACTCACACAAATCCTCTTTCCCACACATGTCAGAATACAAGGCCAAGGTTTAAATAACCCACTCAGAGCTAACACCACAGGCTTTCTTTTAGTTCACCGTGGTGACCAAGCCACAACTATTAAGCGCACCGCCAAAAGTCGTCGCCGTTCGGCATGGTCATTAGTCTTAAATTTGCCAACACAAATGATTGATTTTCAAGCGTTTAACACTATGTTACTGACATAGCTTTCTATATATTATTATTTTCTATTTTATCCCATAATATCATTAGTAGAGACTGGTCGGTAAGTGCACGGATTTCAAGAAAATACATTCATGAGCTGTTATGACCATTACAATAATTCGTCATTAAAAATCTTACATCACGTACGATGTGGCGGCGCGATTTCTATACAAGTGGCCGCTACTAAGGACAATGCATATTACACCAAATGCTTTTTTTACAGAGGCCATAACCTTGTAACGACCTTGTTTTTAATGTCTCCCATATAGTGGATAGCTTTCAAAGTTCTGAAGTTGTTGACATGGTTGGAACCTGCCAATGGAACCCCACAATTGCAATTTTTCATAATTAATTTAGTGTGTAGTTAATAAAATCTATTCTACATTGGAAAAGAATATGACATTGAATAAAATTTACACTTTATTTATTTAAATTATTGTTAATTAAATCATTGCATGATGGAAACATTTACTACCAACTATAATCGCAAAGACTTGTTCATTTAAACTGCTGCACTGATTAGTTCGGTGTATTTCTTCACTTTGCTGGCCACACTCATATCCACATATTTATCTGCAATAGATACTACCATACCACCAATCAGAGAAGGATCTACCTTGGCTGTGAGTACCAAAGTTTCGTTTGCCTTCATAAATTTCTAGAATATGAAGAAAAATAATAGGTTAAAAAGATAAATAAGATCATTTTACACATTATATATTTATCAAACAAAAAATAAATGCTAGGCATTCCCTGAGTTATGGTATTTCAAGTAATATGTAATAATAAATTTGGCTACAATTTATAAGATCAGCTCACATCACATGCACAGTTGACTGAAAATCAGTAGCTTTAGTGATTTGTGTTTAACATAAAATTTTGACTAGGTGTAATGCCACCCCAGCTTATTTTGATAAATAGCAGAAAAAATAAAATATCGTAAAATAGCAGCTTAAGAAACGAGGCATTCCATCTTAGTCCTCACGGGCGATAACGCATCTGCATTTTGTTTCTTAATCGAAGATAGATGTAGATGTCTATGGGCCACAGCAACCACTTACCATCAGGTGGACTGTGTGCTTGTTTGTCACCCTTATCCTATAAAAAAAAAGGTTAGAACTGCTCCCATTATAATATTGCAAGTGGTGGCAGCATAAGAAAATCAATCATCCCATTTCATCTTGGGCGTGATGTAAGAGACAAATACAGGCAATACAACATTTTTTTTACTGTTAGATGGTAAAACCATCGTGTTCACATCCAACATTTAATACCCAGGCTGCCAGGCATGACAATTATGGTAAATCATCACTATGATAGAAGAGGCCAACATCCAACACTAGACTTTTATAGGCATAATCTACTCAAACTATAAATCAGTTTAAAAAGGGTTTGAATAGCAAGCAGAATACAAGACGTTCACCAGCAGAATTGTAGGTAGCCGAATGAAGATAGGATCAGTTATTTCAACTCCTTGCCTGATAATATATATTTATAATAAAGATATTACAAATAAATTAGGTATATTATAATGATTTTTAGCTCCATTTTTTGCAAATTTACATTACCTTTAAAGCAGCTTCCAAACTTTGCCTCTGAGCTTGATCCAGAGGCTTAGCTGTGATAACTTCACAAGTTACTTCACCCCTGTGAGCCGCCATCATTATTTTAAAAGCATTAATCACACCCTCTAGCTTGCTAAGACGTCCATTTTCAGCCAAGAGGCCCAACAAGTTACTTGTTGTCGGTGAAAGCTTGGTCTGAAAAAAGCATTTTAATATATTACAGAGATTTTGTAGTGAATATAGAATCATTTTTATTCAATATAGATTAATAAAAATATTTATTGAAAGTAGAGATGCCACGAATAGTTGTTATAGAGAGTAGTCAAATACCGATTCATCACCATCCCCTATAGCAAATAGCCGAATACCGATTAAATGCCATTCCCTATGGTGAATAGTCAAATAACTCGCCATTATTATTAGACATAAAAATTAATTTATTTGTTATAAAATAATAATATCATGCTTGTAGGTACTAGTCTTGAACTTACCAATGATTTATTTGTTACTATAATCTAAAATTAAAAACATTATAAGAACAGAAAACAATAAAGTTAAAGAAATCAGTCTCATATTATACTAATTTTACATTTTTAAATGCTGGCAACCTTTTTCTTGTACCTATTTTACACGTTAGGGGGACGAAGTCGCTCGCGTCCGTAGGATTTTTACCATCTTGTTCCTACAAGACCCACCCTACACGTGTCCCCTGGGTGGTGCCAAAAGAGTTGACAACGCCGAGCAACAGGCGGCGGTTAAATAACCTGTCCTAGGCTACCACAAGCCTTGAGGCACTAAATATCCTCAAAAAGGGTGGCAGTAGTACCTTGGGAAAGTTCTGCTGATATTTTTCCCGACCCCCCCTTTTATGAAATGTCAAGTAAAAGAGAGTGCGATTTGTCATGCGATCCGGCTAACCCCCGGCGCTCTCCGGTACCCGGGCCTGAGAGTGTGAAATCTGCTACCGAAGACACCACTGGAGTGAGTAACCAGGCTCCGGTGCCTGTAAATGTTACTGGAAAAAGACTAATACAACAAGCATTCCATCCTAGCTTATTTATGACAAGATCAAGAAGCAAATCTCTGAGCAACACGCCATGCTCTAGTAGTGAAGAGGCGTCTGACAAAGGAATCCAACAGAGCCACTTTAATGATACGGAACCACAAAAAGATATTACTATGCACCCTCCTGACTGGCAAAGAGTACCCTCAATTAGAAACCCCAAAAGGAAAAAACTGGCATGCACACCTTCACCAGACAAAATTGAAACAAGCAATAGCTTTGATGGACTAACAGTTGACTTAACTGAAGAACAAGCAACGGAGCCAAAGACTAAGAAGCCCAGCAAACCTCCACCGATTATTCTATATGGTGTTGAAGATCTGAACAAACTGACAGAACTCCTGGAATCAGTTACAGAGAAATCTCATTTCACTTACAAAATTATCAACAGAAATCAATTGAAAATTCTGACCTACGATGTTGATATATACAAAATATTAATATCTGTAATTCGTGAAAACGGTTTGATTGGACACACCTTTAATCGGAAAGATAACAGAAATTACCGAATAGTTATTAGAAACCTACACCACACAACTCCTTTTCAGGCTATTAAAGCAGCCATTGAGGAAACTGGTAATACTGTGACAGGTGAAATAATAAATGCTAAGTTTGGTCCTGATAAGAAACCTACAACCACCTTCTTCGCAAATCTTCTACCAGGCCCGAATAATAAGGCAGTGAAAAACATTAAGGCTATATATCACCAAACCGTCATTATAGAAGATCCAAGAAAACGAAAAACAGTAGTACAGTGTCAAAGGTGTCAACAATATGGACACACAAAAAACTATTGCATGAAACCATTTCGTTGTGTAAAATGTGCAGGAGCTCACAAAACCTCAGCATGTACAAAGACCGATCGCAATACACCAGCCACATGTGCTCTATGCCTGGGTCCTCATCCAGCTAACTACAAAGGGTGTGAGGTGTACAAGGAAATCCTCACCAGGAAAACCAAAAACCAGTATCTAAGACAAAAGAGAGACAACTATGCACACAAAAACAGTGACTATATAAAAACTCATCCAATTAACATGAATTCAGTTCAGGACAGACCACCATCTAACAAAAATATAAAGGAAAAGAAAACATATGCTGAAACTACCTATTCAAAGCCCAATCCACAAGAGCCAGATATGCAGTCAACTTCATTTAAAACATTAGAATACATGTTTATCAAACAATCTGAAAAAATTGATTTTCTCCTTCAACAAATGAGTACATTACTCCAACTAATTACAACGCTAATCTCCAAGCCTTCAAAATAGCTCTTAAAATAGCTACTTGGAACATTAACGGCTTATCTCCCAACAAAGACGAAGTAGAGGTACTACTTCAGTTGCATAAAATTGATATTTTTCTCATATCAGAAACCCACTTTGTTAGCAGCAGTCTGATAAAGATAAAAGGGTATAATATATACCACACAAATCATCCAGATGGAACTGCACATGGCGGAACCGCTGTCATAATAAAATCGTCAATAAAGCACCATGAACTGCCTCAATACAGCACTGAACAAATCCAAGCAACTTCAGTATCTGTCTTGGACAGAAATGGCGATTTCACCATCTCAGCTGTTTACTGTCCACCCAAGCACAGGATATCTGAGGAGCTATTTTCAGAGTTCTTTGTTAGCCTTGGTTCTCGCTTTGTTGTTGGTGGTGACTGGAATGCCAAGCATCTTCATTGGGGCTACAGACTGATAACCACTCGGGGAAGAGAGCTGAAGAAGAGTTTGGATAAGAACTATCTCACAACTATTGCAACACCAGAACCTACACATTGGTCTACAGACCTAAATAGACTGCCTGATGTCCTGGACTTCTTTGTTTCTAAAGGCATGTCGCGACTCTTATTCACAATCAGATCAACATTAGATGGTTCTTCTAATCAAATCCCAGTGTTTCTTACCATGGGCGCCAATATAATAACTAATATGAAACAACTACAACTCTACAATAAGAGAACAGACTGGGAAGCATTTCGTAGTATAGTCAATGATGAGCTTCAACTACAAATGGCACTAAAATCCGAGGAAGACATTGACAATGTTACTACTAAGTTTATGACTACAGTGCAGTCAGCTTGTTGGAAATGTACTCCTGAAATATCCAACTCTTCACTGAGACGCAATGCAGTTCCATCCGATATCAAAATCCAAATTATTGAAAAAAGAAGGCTACGTAGGGTATGGCACAATAGTAGACATCCGGAAGACAAAACAGCGCTTAATAAGGCAATTAAAGACCTTAAAGACATCATGATCAAAGCAAATAATACTTCAACGGAATCCTTCCTGGAATCATTGACAGCCACAAGTGCTACTAACTATTCCCTTTATCGCGCTTGTAAACATCTCAATCAGCCCACTAACCCCAAGCCCCCACTCAGACTGGAGGGCAACTTATGGGCTAGAAGCCAACAACAAAAAGCCGATGTTTTTGGAGATCACTTGGCCCAAATATTCACGCCAAACGAAACTGATCCTAACAGTGATGAAACAGATATTGAAGATGTCCTTGGCCAAACTTTTCAATTGGATCTACCCATTGCAGCAACTAACGCCAGAGAGATTATTAATATAATAAATCGTATGGATGCCAAGAAGGCGCCTGGCTTTGACCTAATTGACAAAAAAGTACTTTCGGAATTACCCAAAAAAGGTATTATGTTCCTCACCATTTTGATTAATGGAATCATTCGCATTGGCTATTGCCCAGCACTGTGGAAAGTTTCACAAATTATAATGATAGGGAAGCCTGGTAAACCTGTTCATGAAATAACCTCATACCGACCAATCAGTTTGTTACCAGTAACATCAAAAGTTTGTGAAAAAGTATTGTTGCAAAGGCTTATGAAAGAACTCCGTAAAAGAAGTATCATTCCAGACCACCAATTTGGATTCCGACAGGATCATGGTACGGTTGAACAGGTACATAGGGTTTGCAGAACAATCAGAAATGCACTAGAACATAAAGAATACTGCTCCTCTGCATTCCTGGATGTGCAGCAGGCTTTTGATAAGGTTTGGCATACAGGGCTACTATTTAAAATTAAATCTCTTTTACCTCATACATTCTTCGGATTACTGAAGTCTTACCTGACCGATAGAATCTTTCAAGTCAAAGAAGGTGAACATACTTCCACGTTCCATCCAATTAAGGCTGGTGTGCCACAAGGCTCAGTGCTTGGTCCTGTGCTCTACACAATTTACACAAATGACCTACCACAAATTGACAACGTCACTGTGGCTACCTTTGCGGATGATACTGCTGTTCTTGCTTGCAGTAGAAGTCCTGACGATGCTTCAGCAATCCTACAACATAGTCTAGATGAGATTGACAAATGGCTATCAAAGTGGAAAATAAAGGTTAGTGCCACAAAATCAGTCCATGTTACGTTTACCTTGCGTCGAGGAAACTGTCCGCCTGTCTCAATGTGTAACAATTCGCTCCCGCAAAGTGACAACGTTAGGTACTTGGGCATGTACTTGGATAGAAGGCTCACTTGGAAGAAGCACATCCAAACCAAAAAGGATGAGATCTACCATAGATAAAGAGGACTGTATTGGATGCTCGCAAGGAATTCCAGACTTTCCTTAGACAATAAGCTCCTGCTATATAACATCATTATAAAACCGATATGGACATACGGCATACAACTTTGGGGATCAGCATGTGACTCCAACATCGAAATCATTCAAAGAACCCAAAACTACATACTTAAACAACTTTCAAACGCACCATGGTTCATAAGAACATCTGAAATCCATGAACACCTTAAAATGAACTCAGTTAAGGAAGAAATTAGGCGCTACAGCTGCAACTACAAAACAAGACTTGGCAACCATCCAAATCAATTAGCATGGCAGTTGACAATGCCACAAGCGATTTGTCGCCTAAAGAGAAGGCATATACTTGATAATGTATAGTTGAGACTTATGGAGTGCTTCCCGCTGGGGAAGTTTTCTCTGCACGCCAATCTGTCCTACAACCAATCTGCTCATAGTCCATCGACTGATTGCATGATAAATCACAAAAAAAAAAAAATTTTACAGGGAATACCTCAATTTGTATAATACAGCATTTAATACAGTAGGGGCTTTCCTGCCCAATCGATTTAGCTTGTGTTTAGGTTGGGTGGCATGCATTTTTGAAATATTAATTAAAAAGCCTAAATAATTAACTTCAACATGACACAACTGATTTTTAGCTAACTTTTATATTAGTGATAATAATCAATACTGTTTTATTTTTTTAAGAAAAATTAAAGTTTAATTATTTTTAAGTCTATAGATTTTTTTGTTCATTAAAAGTTTATTTTAGAGAACTATTCATCGAATGTCAAATAATACTAGCTATTATTCGGTATTCCAGGAATAACAAAAAATGTTGAGTAATGACCGAATACTGAATAATACAGAGTATTCACAGCATCTCTAAATGAAAGTCATTTATGCTTTTATCACAGGTTTGGAAAAGCCTTTTTCCTTCGAAGAACTGTACTAAATGTATTGTACAATTAAATATAAAAATATTTAGATATGGCATAATAGTAATCACGTTATTCCGAGAGACAATTATCAATTATTAAATTATAGAAAATAGTAGTATTATAACCTTAATCAACAACACTGGCATAATAAAAATACTTTAATTTTATTATATTTGACACACAGGTCTTTATTAATGAACTCATGAATGAAATATTGCCTTCGAATCAAGTAACTGGTATCACTAGCTTGTACTTATATGATGCATAGTTAAGCTTCGCATCAACTGTAATTCCAATAAAAACAGAATATTGAACAAAACGCAGTTTCTACCCTATTTAAAAGCACACAGGTATTCACCTGATTAACATTTGATGTTGTGAATTTACATACATTAACCATTTTGTATTATTACTGTTTGAAAACAAGTTTTTGTCAAGCCACGGTAATTTTATATACTAACCATAGTTGAAACATGTTTCAGGGCATCAACTTTTAAACTTCTCTTCAAAGTTGGATTCATAAGAAACTCCTTAAGTTTAATATCACTCTTGATAGACTGCTGGAAATGGGATAGTTCTTTTTCGACGGTATCTAGAGTCTTCTTTTTTGAACCAGCTGAGTATAATGCAGCTGCATATCTACCCTCCAATCCAAATACTTGAATTGGCGGCTTAACGAGCTGAGCTGTAGCCGCTGAGGTACTTAGAGAACGAACCTGTAGGAGAACATTACGTAACACATTACTTTACTTATGCTTAATGTTTTTAAAGAAATGGAAATATTATAATTACTAGAATATTAGTCTTCGTCAACGACATGGCAGTAGCGGTTAATAAATTCTATGCCAATTCAATAAATCTCTAAAATACACGGCTGATCGCCCGTCTGCACCTCACGATTAATAGAACAAATTGGCATCATTTGGCCACAAACCAGTGTGACCATCTTTAAAATACAAATCCTGCCTTACTTTGGTTAAAAACCTACCAAATTCTGCCAGTCTGTAGTGAAAAATGCCTAAATACTGTCAACTTTATTTACCATTTAATAAATGAAAATGAAAATTACATATTTAAATGCTATATTTTTATTTAATTAAAATTAAACATATTTTTCGTTGTATTGAATGCAATGCAATCGCCATGCTCATCAATGCCTTGTTTAAAACGTGCAATATAGACGCAAATGTTTGTTTATAAATCTGTTTCGTGTTTTTGTCTTAATTAAATTTATTTGAGAGAATATTCTTCCGCATGCTGAATCCACTCATATTTTTTTATGTTTACTTGTAGCGGCATGCTTCTTTAAAGCGGACAGCTGGGTGTCAATTTGCAGTTACATAGTCTGGGTCATCTTTAGCTTTAGAGATCCACGACGAAAGTGAAGGATTTTGCTCCCACTCCACTCTATACGCTCTTTCATATTTTCACTTCATCACCACCACCTATAATTATTTTTGTCCATGAAATATTATTAACAAGATATTATCATCATGAAATCTAATGCGACTAAAGTTCGTCCTTCTATATAATACGAGAAGTACAGGGAAGTCCCCCACATGCTGGCGAAATATCTAGGTTTCCCATTTTCGGCATTTTAAGTAACATAATGAAATCTATTTTTAATACCCCAATACTGCCAAATACTGTCAGATTTTATAAAACGTCAACTGATCATGCCAGAGGCTAAAATAAGAGAGCAATCCTGCCAAAATGGCAGGAACCTGCCACATATGGTCACACTGCCAGAAACTATATAGAATTCATTTGGCATATCTATGGTCTGCACTAGGCTTGATGAGAAAATATCGAAAATATCGATATTTATTTTAGAGTATCGAATTCGTATCAATTTCGATATATTTTAAAATGTTGTATTAATGCCAAAACATGTAACAACAAAAGGTGGTAAAAAGTATTTATGTGTGGTTGGTTGTCATTTTTTTTTCGTCGTCCAACCGTCAGTAATATAAAATTTTGGACTTTATCTTTACATCATGCAAATGATGGTGATATATCGAAATTTATTACGCGATATATGTTAAAAATATAGATCCGATATATATCGAAATATATTTTTCTTTGCCCATCCCTAGTCTGCACCAATCCACCAATGACATATTATCATTACAGTTACAGATGAAAAAAATTGTTATCCTAATAAGGCAGGCAAAGGTTCCTGGACAGTCGTCAAAACGTCAAAATATGCTGACGCATCGTATTGCAGAGAAGATAAAATTGCATTTTACGAATGGGATTTTCACGACAGTATAATAACACAGCAGACAGTTGATGACGATTTAGTTTTTTTTTTTATATAGGGGAAGAGGCAAATGAGCATACGTCTCACCTGATAGGTAAATAACTACCGCCGCCCATGAACAATTTGCAACATCAGAGGAATCACAGGTACGTTGCCGACCTTTTAGAATGGAGTAAGCTCTTTTCATGAAATTTCCTAAGTCGTATCAGTCTGGAAAAATCGCCGAAAATAAGCTATTCCACAGAGGGGTCGTACGTGGAAGAAAACTCCTAGAGAAACGTAGAGTGGTGGACCGCCAAGTATCCAGATCGTGTGGATGGTATCGGGAATTTTGCCACGATGTGCGTTCGTGAAATTTAGCGGCTAGGATTAATCCGAACAATTCCTCGGAGCACTCCCCGTGGTACATGCGAAAGAAAATGCATCATCTCTTTGCAGCCCTTAAGTCACTGACGTACCTATATGGACTGGATAAACACCGTGACATAATGAGGTTATTTGATTTTCGCCATTTTGGCGCTAATAGCAGCAGTGAACGTCCACGGAACTAATAATAGACATAAGATAGTTTGATAAAATATATCGATAAAAAATGTTATACCCAGGCCCTTAGAGTATTCAACTGACCGGAGACGCCATGCGCATAAAGTTCCAAGCAAAAAAAGTCTGTCACTTTTGCGGGAGGCGAGGTATCGCTCACTAAGCAAATCGTAAACTTTGGGTCACGTCGTTACGCACGCACACAGCATTATATGAGCACACGAGTAAGAAAGTCGCAAACAACCTTGAAAATCTCTCATAAATGTCTCATCGTTACAGTGTACAAAAATATAAACAACTAGTGCGAGGGCATTCAAAGCACATGAGTAAAGAAACTGACCAGAGGGGAAGCTACATACAAACGGCTCGCGGCGAATACACCCATACATAGCCCAGCGATGTGTGCGTGTGCTCTCACCGACAGGTTCACCGACGCTCCGTCGGGGTACAAACCGGTTTGCGCCGGCTCAGTCAGAGTATCCATGAAAGGGCTGTTAGTCGTGCGCATTTAAATAAATAGACCAACAATATTTCGAAATTATATACATGAATTAATTTATTAAGTTTTTTTGCAATTATTAAATAATCAGATTTAAGTATTTTAATTAAAATTATTAAGAATTAAGTTATTATAAATTTATATAGGTAAATAATAAGTGTTTTGTATAAGCAAAAATGTCTATTAGTGTACAGTATACATGAATAATTCTAGAGAAGTGTTGGTGGAAGTAGTGCTGGTGTTGGTGGAAGTAGTGCTGGTGTTGGTGGAAGTAGTGCTGGTGTTGGTGGATAGTGTAGCTGATGGTGTCAGTAGTGGTGGAGGTGGTAGTATCGTAGGTAGTGGTAGTAGGCAGTAGACCAACAGTGGCTCCATCACCACCACCATTTTTTCCTTAAATTTTTCACATGCATTATGTGACAACCCTATCAGAATAGGTATACATTTTCGACGTTGTTAAGAAGCTTCCCCTCTGGTCCTTACTCTTTACTCTGTGTTCAAAGTACATAAAAAAAACATAAGTTACAAAATAATAATACAAAATTACCAAAAATACATATAAAACAAAGTGAAAAAGTATTATGTTATGCTTTTACTGGTTTTAAAGTGCGCAGTGGCTTAGCAATTGAGTTGCAGCGCTAAGGACCGCGGGTTCGAATCCCGCACGGAACAATATTTGTATGGCCTACAAATAATTGTTCCGGGTCTGGATGTTTGTCCTTGTGAAATTTATGTATGTACACTGCCCTCACAATACAAGAGAAAATCCTACTGTGGTGGTTACGTTTTAAAAAAGGAAAAGAAAGAAAATAATTTAGAAAGCAATTCAGTGTCATTTTTCACTATTCTAAAATCGTTCACTCATAGAATTAATAGTTGTTAACAAGTGTGTTAAAAGTGTCTACAATATTTATCAAATGGGTGACGACATATTCGAACACTTTGTGTTCAAAAACACACACTTCCAAAAATCGAGATTTGCAGTGAACTTATTGAACATGTTTATCTATTAGGTAATAATAATAATAGTAAGTAGTTATTATAAACCCATATAGTTAATATTATAATAATTACTTACTAGAATAAATTATTATGGTATCTACCTATCCTTACCATTATCTAATTACAATATTCCTTGCGAGATCAGCATAAAGTATTCGTGTCCATTCTGAGCACCCGGAAACTTATTTTATTCTTTGGAACATGTAGTGCGTGCGGCGCGGCGGCGACGATTGATATAATGCGATATCAATAGAAGCCGCCGGCGCGTGTATCTTGACCTTGTACTTCCGAATAGCTGCAAAATTTCTTTGACAGGTCAGTATTCGACCTTTGATGATGCCGACAACAAGACGCCGCGCACTATCAAAGTGCCGATGGTCAAAACTAGAGATGCACTGTTTTTTCTTTTAATGGATATTTTCATCCGCTATGTATGTTTAGGGTATTGTTCGTAATGCGCATAAGTCCAATTTTGCAAATTTTTTTTATATATTTTTTGCGTCTCATAGACTCCCTAAGCGTATACTCTGAACTCCTATACTCCCTGAAACGACGCTCATTCCTAACTGCAAGACGCAAGAGTCTCGCAGGCTTAGTCTTGTTCTTGCTCAAATCTTGCACGGTCAGTCTTGGTCTTGGTCTTGCTAAAATTAGGCGGTCTTGTTCTTGGTCTTGGTCTTGCAAAAATGCAAGAACAAGACCAAGACTGCAAGACCAAGACCGATTTTGGGCAACACTAGTTTTTATAATCGGCGAGACACATGATTTACTGTTTTATTTCAGTCTGAAAATAGCAGTGACAACATCACGACAGCTACAGTTGATTCATCATCATCATCATCATTACAGCCCTTCACAAGTCCACTGCTGAACATAGGCCTCCCCCAAAGAATGCCACAAAGCACGGTCCTGAGCCACCTGCATCCATCGACTTCCTGCATGTCTTACCAGGTCGTCACTCCATCTCGTGGGGGGACGCCCTACACTTCACCTACCGGTACGAGGCTGCCACTCGAGAACCTTTCTTCCCCATCGGTTGTCGGTTCTTCGAGCTATATGGCCGGCCCACTGCCACTTCAGCTTACTAATCCGTTGGGCTATGTCGGTCACTCTAGTTCTACTGCGGATATCCTCATTCCTAAGTTTATCACGCAGAGAAACTCCGAGCATAGCCCTCTCCATAGCTCGCTGAGCGACCTTGAGCTTCCTCATACGGCCAGCAGTGAAGGACCAGGTCTCAGTTCCGTAAGTCATCACTGGCAACACGCACTGGTTGTACAATTTCGTTTTAAGGTTTTGAGGTATGTCTGACGAGAAGATGTGTCGTAGCTTCCCGAACGCTGCCCAGCCGAGTTGAATCCGTCTATTGACCTCTCGGTCGAAGTTGGACTTACCTAGTCGGACTATTTGTCCCAGGTAAACATACTCGTCAACAACTTCGAGCTTAGTGCTCCCAACAACTACCGGCATAGGTGTGACATGGACATTAAACATGATCTTTGTTTTGTCCATGTT